TAAATAAATAAATAGTAATAATAATTTTATTAAATTTTCTCTCTATCTAAAATATAAAATTTGTATCTAGGATTATTTTCTATTTTAAAAATCCTATACAATGATCTATTTCTATAACTTCAATAAATTAAAAACTACTAAATTTATTAAAATATAACTGTTCATAATTATCATATTGCAAATCATCAATTTTATGAATATAAGCAAACATTCGAGTTGATTTATTATGTTCATATGAAACAAAATATTCTACTTCACTATATATTTCTTCTTATACAAGATTTCTACTTACATTTATATAATGAGCATTTTTATCAACTGTAATATTGATCTGAAATAAAATAAATTCAATAATTTAATATCTTTTAATAAATCTAATCAAATAATAAATAAAATCTAATACTCACAAATACAGAATAATTGTTTTTACTTTTTATTTTATTTTTTAATATCTATTTAGAACTTATGATATAATTATCTTTAGTTCTTAACTTCCTATATTTTATTGCATTTGAAAAAATATTCTAAATTAATTCAAAAAATAAATTAAATATAAAATCCTTAATTAATTATAATCTTTTATTGTAATGTTATCTTAATAATTCTTATATTAATATTATATATAACTTTATAAATATTTTCAATTTTTTAATTTTGTTAAAGTTAAAACATATTTTTTGAATGGTGAATAAAATTTATATTTATCATATAAAATAGAACTAAAAACTCTATGAGAAGCCCATATTTTTTCTTCTTTATCTAGAAATATCTCTTTATATAATTCTTTAAATTTTAAATGATTGAATCATTCATTTAAAATTATATTATTCTAAAGATTTGCATAAGGATATATTTGTAATTTAACTAATAGAATTAGCATTCTATATATTCTTTCCATTAGAAATTGCCAATATCTTTTATATAAATCAAAATCTTCTATACTTTCAACTACATATAATAAATAATGAAAAGATATTAAAAAGATATTTGATTGATCTTCCTCATCAATATTTGTATAATCTCTATAAATTATATATAAATAAATAAGAATAATATCAATTTTATAGTATGTAAATATATTTATATACTTACTTTAAAATATAATTATAAAAACTTTTAGTTTTCTTCTAATAATAAAATATCTTCTTTTTCTATATTTATTTGTATGTATAAATGAGCAGTAGTAACAAATTCATTCTAATTTTTGATATATCTATAAATTTATTTTACAAATTAAAATTTAAATTGAATAAATAATTAAAATATTTATTATAAATATAATTTTATACCTATTAGGTAATTTGGATTTTAGTAAAGGTACTGAATACAAAGTAATACTAATTCAATTTGCTTAGTCTTCAGCTTTTTATCTAGCATTATATTTTTAGATAATCTTCCAAAATCTAAAGGTATATTTTTCTATTATTTTACATTATTATGCTAATTTCTTTCTATAAAGATTTTGATAAGACGAAAAGTATAGAAATATTTTAATCATTTTTAAAAAATTAACCTACTTATAATTTAAACATATGTGATATAATATTTTTAAAAAATAGATGCATAATATCAATTGGAAATAATCTAGAAAAATTAAAAGAAAGTAATTCAAAAAGAATACTTTTTTCTTTTATTCCTATAAAGTAAATAAATAATTTAATTATAAAATAAAATATATAAGAATTTGTAATTATTATTTATTTATAATTATCATATTTCTTAACTAATATTTCTTTATCTTTGAAAATTGATGCAACTTCTATTTCATTAATATGTAAAAGTCAATTTGTATAATTTTTTTTTAGTATATTTGGCTTTAGAATTAGTAGAAAAATAAACATGTTTATGCTTTGTGAGTAAATTCTTTTAATCTCACAAAATCTACAATTTAAATATAAATTTAATCCTGTGATATTCATAATTTTTATAAGAACTAGAATATCACCAATATATGTAAAAATATATGCATATAATATAGATCACTTTTAGTATATACATCATAACATATTATACTATCTAAAAATAAAATATTATTTTAATAAAAAATGATAAAATACTTAATTATAAATAAATATAATAAATTACTTACTTTCTAATTATTTCATTTCATCAATAAATGATTGTAAAAATATATTAAAATTCTTTGGTTGATTTAAAAAATCAAAAAAGGAATTAATAAATTTTCTTTTTTAATTCTAATTGAAGAATTCAGATTATTATTTATTAACAGAAATAACCAATAATCATCAGTTTTTTGTTTAAATTCTGATATCTATCATAAGATATTATAAATGTAACATCTCATTGATCACTAAATAAATCTTTTTCTAATAAATCTTTATATATATTTCCATTAAAATATCTTCTAAATCTTCAGATTCAATCTCTTTATTAGTAATATATTAATGTTGATAAAATAATTTTTCAGCTCTTATTTTATTATATTGAATCTTCAATTTTTTTTAATAGAAAGATATGATATTAATTTTTTAGATTTATTTTTTGAATCATATTTTAATGAATTACATAATGGATAACTTTGATAAGTTTCATAAATTCTAGTATAACATATACAGAAATTTTCACATATATTATAAAATTTTGGAACATGTTCTATAATTTCTTCTAATATTTTTTTTAAATCTTATATAAACTAATATTTATATTGACAAATAATTTGATAATATCATTATATGCTACTTCTGTAAAATTATATAATGATTTTAAATGTAAAAATTTAAGCCTTCTATAATTTCTTTACTTAATTCTTCTTCAATATTAACTTGTATCATATAATCTATATCTTCATCTTTATCTTTATTTTTATTATAATTAATATTATTTTCTTTATTAGTTTCATCAATATTATAATCTTCATTATCTTCTTCTAAAATTTTCTCACTCATAGATAAATATTCTATTTTATTTATATTTGCTTCATCCATTTAAATATCAATTTCATTTATGTTATTCTTATCTAAATATTCTTTTAAATTTTATTAATTAATAAATAAATGTTAAATAAATTATAATTTACTTTATTATTTTTTAAATTTAAATTTATATCTTTTCTTTTAATATTTTCTTTTTGTTTACTATTACTTGATTTCTCTTCTTTAACATTTGATTTCTTTTCTAATGTCTATAATAAACACTTTTTGTTATAAAATTACCATTTGGATAATTTTTTAAACAAAATAAACATTTGCATAAATATAAGTTTTCGCTTATTTTATAATAAAATTAATTAAAAAATTAAAAATATTTTGTAGTTAAGAATAAAAATAATTAAAAATTAGTTTACAGTTAAGAATGAATAATGTATAAGCAATAAATTATGATATATATAAAAAAAATCATTCTTTTATTTTATATTAGTATATCCTTTATAGATTTATGTCTGTTAAAGCCTTTTACCAAATTATTCAGTTATTTTTTTTGCTATTTTATGTGTATAATTTTTTAAATTAGGATTTAAATTTTAATTACAAACTGATTTATAGATAAATTATATAGTATATTTAATTTATATAGTTAATAATATATAATTTTTATTTTTACTTGATAAAAATATTTTGAGTTTAATTATATCAAATTGGTAACATAATTTTATTTAAAATATTAATCTTACGAGTTTAGTTATATTAAATTAGTAATATAATTTTATTTAAAATATTAATTTTACAAGTTTAGTTTTATTAAATTAGTAAAATAATTTTATTTAAAATATTAATTTTATGAGTTTAGTTATATCAAATTAATAAAATAATTTTATTTAAAATATTAATATTTATATGAGTTTGGTTTTCCAAAATTCAAAAAAATATATATTTATTTATTAGATAATAATTAAAAATAAATTTTTTTTTAAAACCTATAAAAAAATGTATTTTCAAAAGAAAAAAAATTTTTGATTTTTCTATCAAAAAAATTATTTTTTAAATGAAAAAAAATTTTTTTTAATCCTTTTATCAAAAAAATTTACACATTAATATTATTTAAAAAAAATTAATCTGACAACATGTAAAATAAAAAAATTAAGTTACAGAACATTGGTACAGTCAACTCTCTATAAATGCACTTCCCTTAAAACTAGATATAAAAATGCATTTAAAAAAAATATGTATTTATAGAATATATATAAATCTATATGGGGCCTTTGCAATAGAAAGAGAGGAAACTCCAAAAAAATTAAAATTTTAGTTTATAAGCCAAAAATGTTTCAAATACTATAATTTGTTCAGATTTATTATTAACTCATTTTTTATTTTTTTTTGAGTTTCCTCCCTTTCTATTGCAAAAACCCTATATATCATAAAATCTCAAATTTAAGCATAACCTTTTTTGCAATTATGTGATGGATAAAATTAGTAAGGGCGCTTAATTTTGATTTTATACTGGAATTTTTGTTCAGATAAAAATTCAAATTTAATTTTTTATTTTATTTTTTTTCAAATTTTAATGTTTTTAATTTTAATTTAAAGTTTTTTATATCAGTTTATTTTATTAGGAGGAAGGAAAGGGGAAGGATATTTTTTAATAAATTATTTTTTATCACTTCATCTATTCTAATTTTGGTGTTCAGAATCGTATAAACGGATGATTAAACATTTTTATTTCAGTTTTTTTATCAAAAGAGAAGAGTGAGGGAAATTTTTTTTTATTTTTTCAATTTTTAAAAAAAAATGAATTTTTTTTTACAAAACTTGATTACTCTAATACCCTGATAACTATCCTATAAACTTTACTCAATTTAACAGAATTTTATTGCTTTAATACTCAAATTACTAGCTTATAAATGTTATTCAAGAATAATACTTTTTAACAAATAAATTAAATACTAATATTTAAATTTTGAAACTGAATTCAGTCAATTTCTCCTTGATTTTTTTAATCTTCAATAACTAATATTTCTATTTTTAATTTATTAAATAACATTTTTTTTTTTATTATAAGATTCACTTAATCTCGCAATATCATCATAAGCTTTTCTTTTACCTTTTGGCATCCTTAATATTGAAGTTTATATAGGTCTTGAGTTTTTCTTCTCGTAATGTTAGCTTTTGATTCTTGTTAAAAGTGAGTAATAGCAAATAAAGTGTATTTTTTTAACATATTAGTAATAAGAAATATTTTTAAATTTTTTAATAATATGCGAAAAAAGATTTATGTAAAATAATTTTTATTTTGAATTAAATTATTAATTGCTAACAATTTCAATATCATTATCTAACTCTTCTAAATTTCTTTTTCATACTCTTCAATCAATTTATCAATTTCTTTATATACCATATCATCTTTTGATTTATCTAATAATTAGAGATAGAATATTTTTTAAATGAATAAAAGATACTTTGATTTAAAATAGCATTCTAAGCTCTTTTAACCTATACACATACATCACTAATCTTTGCCCTTTTAAAGTTACCTACTGCAGTTATATCTGAACTATCTTTACTCATCTATTTATGCCATTCATTTCACAAATTATCTTTAAAAGATTTATTAATAGATATATCTAATAGTTAACATACATTAGTTAATCCTGCAGAAATAACAGCTAACTGAAAATTATATTACTTGAATTTAGTTTTAATACTTTTCTCCAAATGATCATAAAAAGAATCATAAACCATTATGGCAGGTTCTTTTAATAAATTTTTAGATATCCAAATTTTAAATAAAAATCTATGTAATTTTTCATTAAATCTGAAGTCATCCATCTATTATTTTGAAACTAACAAATAACATTTTTTAGAATAATTTCATTTTGAGGAAGTTGTTTACTCTTAAAAATACAAATTGGATATTTTATACCATTTTATAATTATATTATATTAGTTTTGAATTAATAAATATAAAAATAAAAAAATAAAATTAATATCTACTAATAAATTAAAACTACAGTAAAATAATTTTTATCATTTTCAGTAGTATGAATACGTATTTTTTTATCTCCTTTATTATTAACTGTTATATTTCCTGTTATATCAAATCACACTGAGGTTTTATCTATATTAAAAATACTATTCAAATCAAATTTATATTGTATTCTCAATCTTATAATAAATTGTCTAAATTCATCCAATTTTATTTTATATCTTCAGGTAATTTTTGTGAAATTTTAGTCCTTCTTTTTAATGACAAACCATATCTCTTCATAAAACAATTAATCTAAGAAAGATTTCTTGAAACTCATACTCTCCTGCTAGATATAAAATTTGAATTGCAAGTTTTTTGAGAATTTTAATTATTTGTAATCTTATTGAAATATAATTAACAGCAAGCTTTTTTTTTCTTTGTTTAATTATTTAACTATATAAAAGATTTTCTACTTCAGAATAAAAGGCTTTTCTTTCTGAAGTTCTAGCACGTTTTTTTTTTTATTTTCTTCTTTTTATTTATTACTTTATTTTATCTATCTTCTTACTATTGAAGCATTTAAATTAAAATGTTTTGCTATAGCATTTCTTTCATGTTCTTAAGCATACTTAACCACTATTAATTTTTTTTCAAATGAATATAATGTATGCTGTCTTATACTTACTTTTTTATATGTTATTTTTTTAACAAGTAACAGAAAAAAAGATTGATTTAGATAATCAATAAATACCATTTAATTCTAACTTAAAGTGAAAATTTATGTAAAATTAATTTAGTCATACAAAATTGTCTTTCATTTAATTTTTTGAAATAGACAAAATTTTATATTTGAGATGCTTAAATTTGGGATATTAAATTTCAGTTATACAAATATTATAGCAAAAGTAATAAAGGTATTTAAATTTGGTAGATGCTTAAATTAGAGATTTTATAATATTTTTAGCATACAGTCTACCCTTAATATAGTGAATTTTGATATAATAAATCATATGATGCTTGACCAATTAAATATGTTAATTTTCCCTTTTTATAATAAAGTAACCAATTAAATCTTTCAAATTCTTTACTAATTTGCTATAATGAAGTTGAGATGCAAAATAGCTACTTTGCTATATTAAGGATAGATTGTATTTAGTTTAGTTAATTTATAGTGTAATAATTAGTTAAAAAAATTTTGTATAAATAGATAGACTTTTGCTTATATTGTAAATTAACTCTTTTGCAAATTTGTAAATATATGAATTTCAATATTAATAAAGAAATCAATTAAAACTTATATCTTTCTACCTTTTTATATCTTTATATAATCTAATTTGATTTTATATATTATTTATAATTGAATTCATCATTTGAAATTTTTTAATTAAATTTGTTTATATTATTATCTTTAAGTCTTTATACTTGACAAATTTGTTAAGTTTAGTATGTAAATTTAATAAAGTTAAGAGTTAAGTAGATCCTAATGTCTTAACTGCAGTTAATAACTTTAAGTAGAGACTTAAGAATGTAATTAACTGTTGAAGAATTTCACAGTGACAATGACATTGCAAATAATTTTCTATTTATAAAAATTCTTAGATATTAAAAATATATTCTTTTGATCAATTAATTATATAACTATCTTTCAAAATAATTCTTTTTTTAGGCTATCTATTTCATATGAATTCTATATGAAAAGTAGTATAATTTATAATTAATGTTGATTTTTAAATTAAATAAGAAAATTTTGTACTTACAGATTATCAACGGTATTTTTTATCTAGTCTTAATTAAAATTCTTTTATTAGTTATAAGCTGATTAATGACTCTGACTTAAAAATCTATATTTTGAGATTAAAAATTGTGAACTATTCAAATAAAGAAATTATCAAATAACATTATTTGTAAATAATAGTTAAAGCATAATGATACAAAAAATACATATCAGTTGATAATTATCAAGATATTTTAACAAATTTTAGAATATATTAGAAAGTAGTTTTAATCTATACGTATAAATTTTTTGATTTTAAATAGGATAAAAATATTTCTTTGACAAAACTTTTATCATCTGAATTATAGATGCCTACTGAAACCTCCTCAAAATAATTTCATCATACCCTTTTCTATATTTTTAATATAGTTTCAACAGTTTCAGCTTTTGTCGTATCAAAAAGGTTTCGTCATATCCCTTATTATGATTTTAATATAGTTTTATCTAAGTTTTGACTGTTATTAAAAGGTTTCGTCCCTTATCATTAATTTGAATTAATTATAAAAGAATGATAAAAACTTTTGATATTTAATAGCTTAATATTTATAATAATCTGATTAACTTTTCTCATTTTACACTTATATAACTTATCTTTAATAATCTTTTTAGATAATAATACCTATTTTTTATTATTTTCAAATTTTTTGAAATACTTTTGTAAACTTATTAAAATTCTCTTCTGATATCTGTACTTAACTAACTTTATCACTATCTGTCATTAAATCCAATATTTGTTATAAACTATTATATTAGATACTATTACTGCTAAAACTTCTTATTTCATTTTTTATTTATTTTGATCTTCACAATCCAAAAATAAAAAAAATAACTTTTAAAAATAATTTTAAGTAACTAAAATACATTAGTATAAGTTACTTTTTTAAGTTTCTCTTATTTCTTTTAATACTATAAATTAGAGAAAGATATTTCTGTTAGGATTTTGCTATAATTAATTTTTTTTTTTTTTAAGTATCATTCTAATTAAAGAAAGTTCTCCTTTCTAAAATGAAATTCCTTTGATACTTATTATTCTTTAATGTCTTTTAAATGTTATATTACTACTTTATAATTTGAGTTGTATTTACAGATGCAGTTACAAAATTTTTCATCTTTTTAATTTGACAAAAACATTAATTGTAATTCCTTATCTTGTAAAATTTTAATCCTATTTTTACGTTACTGAAATACTTTATGTTCTTTTATGTATCAATCCAATTCTTGAAAAATAAAGTACATAATTAATATATTGATACTTATAAGAAACATTTCTAATAGCAATGATAATAATAATAAACTAGTATTAAACTAAAAAATATTCTTCAAACTAAGCAGTCTTATCTTGCACTAAGTGTTGAATGAGTAGTTCATTATTATTAAATTGAGTTCTTAACTTATTTAAACACTAAATAAACAGTTTAATACTGTTAGATTAAATCTTATTAATGCATATATTTTAGTTATCAAGAATTATTTGAGCTTTTCATTTTCCTTATGTCAAACAAATCAGATTCTTCTAACTCTTCAAGCTCTTTTTTTATACTGTCCAAAACTTTTTATTTTGAATTTAAATAATAATATTCTATAATACATACGTACGTTTAATTTTCTATTGCAATATCATTTACCCCACCCGTAACTACGCCTATCTATATCACTATCACCCGCACAGACTATGTAAAATAATATTTCCCGAAAGAGAACTTCGCTGAGATCAAGTAATTCGAGACTACAGCATGAATTCGGGGAATTAGTAAATGAGTTAAAAAAAAATAAGAAATGCAATATTTCCGATTCAAGCTTATCATTATTCATTTTTACAGCATTCCAATCCGCCTTATGTTCATGAAATTTGTTGTTTAATGTGTTAAGATATTTCGATTTTTTTTATCGGCAAGTACAAGTCAATATCCGGGTAATATCCGGATTATTATAAAACGGATACAAAACGGATATTACCCGTTTATCCGGGTAGATCCGAGTTGTATCCGAGTAAACGGGAGCTCTACACGGGTAATTGATTATTAATATTTTTCGGGACAGACAAATTTTGATTGAACCCGACATCCGATCCGATATGCGGATATCGCTTGTTTCTGGATTTTGTACTAAAAATAAACAAACTAAATAAACTATAACCGATAAACAAATACCGAACACTATTGTCCTAATAGCAATCGTGTATTCGAGTATTACAATCTGTAAACAACCGATACCCGCTTATCGGATCGGGTGTCGGGTTCAAAATTTGTTTTATCCCGAAAAATATGAAAACAGCTGTAAAGTTATAAACAAATAAATTAATAAGTATTTTATCTTCATAACTTCATAAGTGTGACAAATAATGATCTAATATTTATTTTAACATTTTTAGTTTTTATATTTGATTATGGTTTGCAATAACAAATCTCAAAAAAAAAAACGAAAACAGATTATTAATAATGAGTCTGACCTTAATAGTAATGTAGATTTGTTCGGCAGGCAAAATGTTGATCAACCGCCCGCAAAAAAAAAAGCTGATTATTAAGCCACGATCTAGCTGGGTTTAGTATTATTTCGATATTAATGATCGTGTATACACTCAACGCAAAGTTATTGATGGTGATGAAGTAGAATGTGGAGTAAGATTCTTCACACTGGATCAACCGGAAATTTATTCAAACTTGCACGAAAAATATTCAATATATGTTTAAAACAAGTAATATTGTCAAATCTGCTAATTCTACTGAACACTTTAAACCTAATAATTTGTATCCTACTAAAGTACAATCACGCGCTATCATCAGGAAATTTTAGTTATATTTAGAAGATATACAACTTAATAGCTGTGTAAAAAAATCTGATTTTAACAAACTGCTTAATTTTTTGACCCACATGTTTCATATAAAATATCACTTTGTATCCGAATCTACCCATATATTCTTGTTATATATTGTAAAAGGGTAAAAACGGGTAATACCCGTTAAGGAATCGGGTAACCTTTTTTTTTAATTTGGCTGACGGGTCGCAGCTCTAAGTACAAGAATATTGCCGGAAAATTTATTTGATATACCGCGCCAGATTTCGTGACATGTGATTAAAATCAGGTAAATTTGCAGCCACAAAAATAACACAGTGCCGATGAGGCAAATGTTAACGATCACGATTTTCTCAGCGATCAAATATGCGAAAAGGATCAAGAAAGGTAATATGTCCGCTTATATTTGAGCATCTATAGAGCCGGAAAAAAATGATTAGCATGATGATGATATTCTTCTAGAATCTAACCGATCAATAAAATCAACAAATCTTGTTATTACTTTGCGGATATTCTCATTTGATTGATCAAGGATATTGACGATGTAAGTTTGAGTATATTTTATTAGTTTCGCTTGATTTTTGCTTATATTTGCGCAAGGCAGATAAAAGGATTCACTAACCGTCTCATCTTCTTTTTATATGATTTCTAGTGGTCCAAGAATCGATTTTGGAATCCTCCTTTAGAGAGATTACACAATCATGATTCATCATGAATATTGATCAACACGCACTCCTTAAAGTTACATTGATGTTACTGGATCATCAAGGGTCTTTTTTATTATTACATGAGTATCTGCGGGAAAGTTCGAGAATATTACGCGTCTAAAGTCTTACGTCACACAGCAATCATCTTGGCAATAATTTTTAGAATCAAATTCTGGGATGATAACTTCGTTGCGATAGAGCAAAATTGATCGAGAAATATTTTAGAAATATACAGTTAAGATCGTACAAGATCTGAAAACATAGAAGATCGCTCAGTTGCGGAACAACACTTAAAGGCACATTTTTTTTGCATAATTCCACGTTGTTTTTAACCTCTATTCGTGCCCATACAAATCTACCAACAACGTAAAGTTATTAGTAAATGTATGCTGATCAATTATGAGTTATATTAGTATTGTTCAGAATTCTTTCAGATCCATACAAATACTAATCTTACAAGTTTATATTAGACATAGTGAAAGGGATGAATTATATAATGAAATGTATTTATATTAAGTAAATATTATCAATAGAAAATATAAAAAAAATAATGATAGTGATTCAATAACTTGCTATTTTAAAAAATAAAATTCTAATGTTAAAAGAAAAACTAAAAAAATTTAAAATTTTTGACATGTCAAATTTAATTATTATCATTGGAAAAAATGAAGAAAAAAATAAATTCAAAAATTTCTTGTTATAAAAAAATTTCTTATTATTATTAAAGTAATTCTAAAAACTATAAACCTTAAAATAGAGATAATAACAATTAGAAAAAAAAAACCAATATATGGTAATATACAGTATATTATTACTTATATAATGATTTATGAAAATTTGGAAATGCAAATCTCTTATTTGAATAAACTTCCTATTAATATTAAAATTATTTTAATAACATATGTGAAAATTGTAAATTAATTTAAATAATAACACTGATAATACATGTGAAAACAAAAATAAATTAGATATAAGTATAAAGATATTAAAAAATAACTTAACTTTAAAATTTAAATCTTAATCAGACTTAGTCTTAAATATATTATATAATACATTATTATATATTATTTTATGAAAAAAATTTTTTCAGACTTCTATTTAAGAAAGGATAAATCATAAATATAATGATAAAAGAAAAAATATTTATAATTTTTAATAAATAATCAAATAATATTTGCATCTAAGATTGTTTGTCTAAATTCATTTTGAATTTAACAAAATATATAAACTTTATTTTTGCTAATTTTTTATTAAAATTTTGTTATAGTTTTTATATTTTTACAAGCTTTAATATAATTTCATCTTTTTCAGAATTTTATAGATTTTTTTAATAAGGCTTTAATATAATTTTGCTAAATTTTACTTTTTACTATTTAGATAACTTATAAATCCTTTAGGTTTTGTTTAGTAATCTTATTTGCATCTTAATACTTCAATAGTTTTATTAAACTATTTTAACTTTTAATTATCTTTATTTTAAATTATATTTGAATAGTAATCTTAATTTAAAGAGAAACGAACTTGCAGATCATAATGGTTTAATAAATTACTATTATTTTCTTTAAAGAAAAAGCTTTATTTATTATACTGAAAAATAATTATTTATAGGAAACTACCTGAATTATCATATAAATATTTAGGTATTTATTTATTATAAAATATATAATTAAATATTACTATATATAATTTTATTAGTATTACAATTTGTAATACAATAATTTATCAAATAAAATTGTCTAAATTAAATATTTAATAAAAATTTTTCAAATACATATATTTAAAATATCTCAATATAGTTTAATTGTTACTAATTTAAACTACAAAATGATATTAAGATTATCCTGATTAATTATTTAGATCAAAAGTTATTAGCCTGTAAAATTCAGGTATTTTCTTAATAAACAGTAGAATTTGAAACATTTAATTCTGACTAAAATTTAACAAAATTCTATAATTTAGATTAGAATTATGATATATGAAAATGTGATTATGCAATAATATAGATCATAAAATTTTTTCCATTGTACAATTAAAAAAATGAGCACAATACTGTCAAAAACTAGCAAAAAAAGAAAAAAACTATGAAAGATACTAATAATTTAAGTTCAAATGAAAATGATAATATAGAGGATAAAGTTAAATGAATTAATAATAAAATCAAAAACAAAAATTTTCAGTTTTAATAAAAAATATGAAAACATTAAAAATATCTAAGTATTCATTAATAAATTTGAAAAATTTTCACACAACTAATATTAACAAAAAATCAAAGCATTGGAAAATTAAAAAAAGATAAACAAATATTATCTAAAAAAAAGATTTAAAAAAAATTTAAATAGTGAAATAGAAGATATCAATATTCATAATAAAGAAGAAATTAGTGAAAAAATAATTATTAATTTATAAAATATGTATCTTTTATTGATCAAATTGAATATAAATTATAAATTAAAGATTAAAAGTTAACTTTAGAATATAAAATATGGCTTAAAATAGTTTAATATTACGTTTAACTTTTTAGAAAAGAATATACAGAATTAAAAATAAACTAAATTATTACAGAATTTTTAAACTGTAAAATATGATTTACACATTATGTCAAAAGTTAAGATAAAGCATTTAAAAATTATGATAATATTTCTAAAGATAACTATAAACATTTTAAAAGAAAGAATATTCTTAATGATGAGAATGTTCAATTAAAAGTAGCTTCATATTTGTGATAATACAAATTTGACGTTACTGTAAAAAGTTTTTGTGATTTTATTAGTAAAATAATTTATCTTCTGTTAGTATAGAAATACAATAACTAGGGAAACGGTACGGCCACAGCCACCGTTGTTAAGTCTGGAACGATAAGCCATATGATTGATGAAAATCCGCAGATTTCGTCAGATTAATCCAGATCATTAAAGCCTGCAGATTTTAATAATTAATGGCTTGTTTAATAGTATGTATACATACATGGAATAGTGGTGACGCAAGGCTAAAATCTTAAATAATCAAGATAAATTATTTAATCTGAACGATAGACTTTATCGGGGATCAAAACACCAGATTTAGGTGTCAAATTTATTTTTCTAACAATAGATTGATTATACACAATAAACAAATAATTATTATTAAATTTCTTAAATAGCAATACAAATTACTTAACATATGATATTATCTAAAGATAAAAAATTATGTAAAGCATATCAAATAATAAAGTACATGAAATTAAATTTTATGTCAAATAAATGTAGCAATTGTACATATTGTTTATTAAATTAATTATTCCTTGCTTGATCTAAATCAGACGTATAGATTAATATAGTTAACAGATGAAATGTTTTTCGTTAATAAATAGTGAATTGAGTGAAATAAAAGAAAAAAAAAGGAATTTTATACTTTAAACCAAAGTTGTGATACAAAATGAATAATGAAAGTATTAACCCTGAGACGCTTCGAAAGAGAAATAGCAAAAAAGAGAGACAGCTGAACAACGCGAAGTACGCCTTAATCGTAAAAGGGTGCAAAAATGTCAAAAGAGAAGCCAAGAAAGTGATGAAATACGAGAGACTCATCTTACAAGAGCTCGTGAACAAAGAGCTAACAAAAGAATAGCAGAATCGGTTGAGGAACGGGAGTCACGTCTTAATCGTGAACGTAAATGCAAACGTATAGAACGAAATCGTCAACAATTAGAAGAATCAGCCAGATCACTCTCAGCAACTAACATCAACGAGGAGGAACATGAAATTCTCCAATTATTTCGTAAAAATATGGATGAAATTGCATATAATCTTTGTTCTGAATATAATGAAAGAATACCATCGATGGTAATTGTCAAAGGAATGTGTCGTCGATGCTATAATGAAAAAAATACCATAAAAAAGTTTTCCAGTAAGAATAATATAGATCCAGGAGACATACCTGAAGAATTACAAGACCTTACAGAAATCGAAGAAATGTTAATTGCACAAGTTTTTACAGTAATATCAGTATATAGACTCTGTGGTAGGCAATATGGATATTGTGGAAATGTTATCAATTTCTCACAAGATGTACAAGAAAT